GGTCCCTTACTGCAGCACTAAAGTGAGGCGGCGCCCCATCGTGCATGAATATCAGTGCATTTCTGGTTTCAAGATCAACATCTTCTAACAGTTGTGGTAATTGATGCACAAGGAAATCTAGGTAACGTTGACCATTCAGTCTAGGGGGTAACACAAATGGACCCAATAAGTAAGGACCAATAATTCCACTCCAAACATTAACATAAAATTGTCTTTGGTGCCTAGTTTCAATAATAGCGTGTGGGTTCTCATCAGACCAATAATGTAAATTATGGGAGTTAATAACTCCATTCCTCCCAAAACTTGCTTCGTCAGTATACAGAATTAATCTCGTAAACATAGGATTTTGCTCATGTCTCTGAAGAAACCATTGAGAAAACTGTACTCTTGCACGAAAATCATCAGGATTAAGAGCATGCACTTTTTGGATATGGTAAGGGTGAAGAAGCTGTTCTCTAAGGATTCTTGCAACAGTGGTCTTTGGAACATTGGTAAAAGAAGATAATGACCTAATGCTAACTGTTGGATGAGCAGCAACTTCGTCCAGTATATTTTCCTCTACTTCAACTGTACGTGCTGTTCGCGGGGCACCCCTGTTTGCAGTAACAGGAGCAAACTGACCTAAAGACATTAAAATTTATTTAATATCCATTTTGTTTAATAATAGTAATCGTATTTTACCAGTTTCTCTTAATCTTTGATCAATACGTTCGAAAGTTTTGCGATCCGGAATCCTTCTATTAGGATAAGAATGCTGATAAAATCTTCTTGCTGCCGAAGCATTACAAAGAGCCCGCCCGTACATTAAATGCATATCAGCATATTCTTCATTGGAATACTCCATATTTTATAACAAATTATGAGTTATCAGATGAGTCTTAGATTTAAAACTACGTATTTGACAAATTTGACAATTTAATTGCCTTTGGCATACTCTGAGATGTCAAAGCCAACCACGATTAAATCTATGTTTCAATGAAATAAAATGTCTCAAACTAAATGGTACCTTCCTCTTTAAACGGGTCTATCTCAAAAAATATCTATTTTATGGATATTCAACAAGTATACCTTTTTTACGAAAAATACCATAAATTTTTATAAAATTATGGAAAATTTGAGGTATAGTAGAACAAAAATTTTTTTTCTAGAAATTTTGGTGGGGGTGCTTTGCCCCCGGGCCCCCATAATTATTATCGGGGATTTCATATTATCATCCAAAGCAGCTTAAAAAATTATAGATCTAGCCAAAAAATTTTCAAAATTTATTGAAAAATACAAAAGTTTCAGCAAAAAAACCATTTTTAATTCTCAACTTCAAGAGTTAATAACTCTACAGGGTGAGCCCGGAGGAAAAAAATTTATATGAACTTGTGACATTATTTTCTCATTATCTATCCATATCCGAGAGATTGCCCACCATTTCCGGGACACCCTGTATACTTTCTGTTAATTTGTGCTCGACTATTACAGATTTAAATCAAATAAATCTAATCATCTTTTCCGTTATTTCACTTATTTTTTAAAATAAAAGAAAAAGAAGTAGGTACAAGAAGAACTGTCATTATTAAATCATCACTCTTTCTATATTTTATAACTGACAATAGCTGAAACGGTGTGATGAATAATTCTAGTTTACACCTGTATTAAATTTATATTAAAGGTCGATACCAATAATTAAATTTAATCAGATACTTGTACAGTTTTGTTCTTTCAATTTCACTCAAATTTTAAATCTAAATTTGTGCAAGACTTTCTACTGTTAACCATTATTGAAGCATTTCAAATTAAAGATGCAAATTATAATAAATTCCACTTGAAAAAAAATGTTTTTGGTTTACTTAACTTACAATAGTAGTAACTTTTTGGAAAGGTTAATCCACAAACTGTTTTTACTATAAAAGTTGTATTATTCTGCTAAGCCTTGAACAAAAAATACCTGCCGTACCTTTAAAGCATTAAATTTGTATACAGATTTTTCGCACAATACGCATTTTTTTTATACTACATCCGGCCTGCCCGTTTTAATGAAATAATAGTTCCCGGCCCCAGCGCGATAAATAATTCGGCAGCGCATTTTTTTTGTTTAAAAGAAAGCAATAATTCAGGGATATTTTTCAATTTCAGTCTCTGACATTATGTCATCCCTCGTAAAATATTATGAATGTAAATCATTTCTTTAAAACAATTATAGTGGAATTGCATTGTGGAAACGTTAATGTCAGAGAATAACGGCACATCCAAATGTCAGCGTTTATTCAGGCGGGTTGGCCGGTAAAAAATCTTCAGCACGGAGTGTTTTAAAGCCTTTTTCATTAGCAAAAAATGGATTGACTGCCGCTGATTGTTATTAAAACTAATTATTAACGCAATGCAATCGAGTATTTGACATAAATGGCTGTTTGTTAGGTCTACTTTTTATATGTCATATTAAAATAATAAATTACTATATTGGATGCTCGCCAACGTACCAATATATAGCATTTGCTTGTAGAGGACTCTAAGATGTGGTATTTGCTACCTACATTACGTTAAAATTGACAGAAATATTTTTTTCCAAAATTACTCAAAAACCTCTTCGTCGATTTAAATTTTGATGTGATTTTGTGTGGATATATAAACCCTAATTTTAATAATTTTGTTATTAAATAATTTTATTTTATTTATAGAAATAAGAAAAATATTGCCTCTTTTAAGCAAATGTGCTCATATTTTTTTGCAGATGATTTTGCAACTCAACACTTATTTTAATGTTAAGGTAATCCTACAAAAGGCCCATGCCATCTTCAAGTTTTTTTTCGCCTGTAATTTTTTTATAGTTCTCGCGTAATTTATTTCTTTAATTAATCATCACAGCCACACAAAAGAGAAATTGTCTGTAGGTACTTTTCATGCGACATATGTTATCCGTGGTATTTTTCCTCCTAATCACGAATCCGGTGTCAGCATTGAGATAACGCATCAAAGGAATTTCCTAACTCAAAAAAACAGGTCAAAAATAGCAAAAATTCATGAAGAAGTGCTAGGAAAAGTACAAACATTTTTTTTCTATATTCAAATGTTCATTTATATCGTTAAGACCCCTCCGAACGTGAATCCGCGGTCAGAATTGATGATTCTTTTTCTAACCTAAAAAAACGAGTCAATAAAGTCAGATATCGCGAATTTTCAAAAAATAACAGATTCGTACCAAATATGTTATACGGGGGTTATATGGGGGATACGCTGATCACGTATCCAAGATCAGATTTACAAAGTTCGTTCTTAAAAATTTAATCAATTACCTATTATACAGGGTGGGCCACCAGTAACGCCTCGGTCGCTAGTGACCAAACGGCAAATGTTACAGAAACCTGTATAGGTGGGTATGTGTAGGTTGATTACAGCTACATTTTAAAAATATTTTGAAATATACAGGGTGTCCAGGAAAAGCATACCATATCAAAGTTATGTTTTTTTAAATGGAGCACCCTGTATTTTACTGCATTTTTGAAAGCACCGTAAAAAAATAGGTGAACTTTATTAAAGGTTCTGCATACCTAGGACTTACAGTTTGTGAGATATTTCAATTTTAGTGAAAATGCAGGCATAGCGTAGAAATTTAATATTAGCAATAAAAAAATAATTTTAAGGAAGCAGCTTTGGAGGGTCTATTTTAGATCCTTGAAGTTATAAATTGTTATATTTGTCGTCACTTAGTATTATACAGGGTGTTCAAAAAACTGCTGAATACTTCTCTCAACTTTAAACAGCAATAACTTGGTTATTTTAAATGGAACACCCAGTATATTTTTACTTTGGGAGTTGGGAAATTTAAAACTCTTTCAAACTGTGTATAGGTTCCCTATACCTATCTCTAACGGTATTGGAGATATTTGTGCCGTTTCGTTTTTTATCGATTTTTTTTGTAAGATGTATCCACGTGTCTTTATCGAGGTCTTTACTGAATTGGTTTGGGTTCTTCTTGATGACGTCTCTTTAAATATAAGGAGAAAAATGTGAATGCAAATAGATGGCGCACCTGCACATTTTTCATATTCAGTGAGAAATTATATAAATCGATAATTAAGTAATAAATGAGTAGGTAAGAATGGTCCATGTCAGTGGCTACCACAGGTGTCCAAACCTCTCGTAATGGACTTCTTTGTTTCGGGCTGTATAAAAATATATCTTGTACACAGTGTTCCACCTACTACTTGCGATGATATGAAGGAAAGGATTAGATATGCATTTGCCACAATCACCCCAAATATTCTAAGGAATGTGAGAATATCATTTGAAGATAGAATAAGATGCTGTATTCAAGAGAATGGTTATCAATTCGAACATCTATTAAAATTTTTCTTTGTTTCTTCTAAAAGTAAAATTTTCTTTAATAAATATTTTTCATGTTCATAAATAATTCAGTTACTTACTACAAACATATTTATACAAAATTAATAACTTTTTATAATTATTCTGCTTATAATATAATATTTTTTATTAGAAAACTTTTTTGAATATTGTCATGATAATGATAAAAGGAAATTTTACTTTTAGAAGAAACAAAGAAAAATTTTAATTGATGTTCGAATTGATAACCATAACACCGAGGCGTGTTATTCGTTCGGCTTGTCATAGAAGTCAAATTAATTAGATTTCGTCTATTCCTAGAAGGAATATTTGTGAAAGTTTCGTTCTGCAAGAGACCTGTTTATTATAAATGATATATACCTCCAGCTCGGTTTTAATAAACTAGTCCATTGTTCCAGCTCCCCAGATTTTATTTTCTGTTGTTTATTTCGCCATCTTAAGCATTAAAAGTAATAAATTCAGTGGCTGTCATAAGCAAAGTTTGGTCTTCCTTTAGGTCGATCGTAACTCCTTATTTCGGTGGCTGGTCCCCGCCGAATACTTGGCCTAAAGTAAACTTTTCTCCGGTACTTGTGGCGAGCAACATTTAAATATCATAGTTTGCTTTAAGATTTAAATTAATTGGTCTATAATTCCTCATTTATTTTCAGGAGGAAACTCGGGAGAACGTAACAATAAGTGAGTTAAGTTTCGTTCCGACAACCGAAGACGATGGAAAATCCATAACGTGCAGAGCAGAAAATCCAAATGTCACTGGGCTTTTCCTGGAGACGTCGTGGAAAATCGACGTAGTTTGTAAGTATCGCACATATATATTTTACAGAAATATGCTTTACTTACTACTTTCAATGTATATTTGACGTAGTTGAAAATTTTAATTTACTTTAAAATATATATGTTTAATTTGTGCTAAAACTGATTAATTACTCTCAAATATAATGCCAACTAGGTATACAGCGTGTCTGATCATGGCTATCAGAGAGATTACTGAAATTAACCATGTAGTTGTTTAAAGATTATTTTTGCCATCTGATTACACCAGCATATACACATACCTATAGACATGTACCTACACATATTAATAGAGATTAAAGATTGATAAAAACATATCCTTATCAAACTCAACAAGCTTCTGCAGACATAGAAGAAGAAAGCACAACCTTCCATTTAAATTGGTAATTATTTTAAAACCTTGCAATGGTCCCAAAGTGTTTAATCCTTCATGCAATCAAACGATTTCATGTTTTAATCCAAACCGAAAAGCTGCTAATGTCGAATTATCTCTTGAAGAACCTTGTTTGAGAACAGTAAACGAGAAACTATATTATATGATGAAAAAAAATCTGCTTTGCCTGTTTACTAGCTTTTTGCTTATTTGCTCTACTACATTGTTTTCCAGCTGTAATAAACATAAACTCTTATAACTTCAATTTCACTTAAATATTATTTTAATATGGTGGCCACACCAAGGCGAATATAATATCGACTTCATACCTTCAGCTTATCTTTTCCAATGTTCTTAGAATAAGGGAAAATGAAGGAGCTTATATCATATGATGTCCATCCAACAATAACAGAGATGTATGCGTTATGAAAGAGCGCGTATCTCTGTGTTTTTCGCATTTATAGATCACATTAGAGCTGAAGATCAATAAAATTTTCAAAATGTAGAATTATTTCATGTCTCCCCTGACAAAAATTAATTTAGCGTCAGCATTCTGATGTCTTCTTGTCAATTATTCTCAGAACTCGTAGATAAATTTAGAAATTCAGATATTCCTTGCTAGATTTCAAAGAAATCTATATTATACAGTGTGTCTCAAAAGTCATGTGTATTTTGGAAACTGGAAATTTTTGGAAAATTCGCTCGGAAAGGCCAACTTTTTTTTTTGGGGGCATGAACTTCAATTCAATTTTCAAAAATCTAACCAGTGGCGGCGGGAGGGAGATAGGGTTGCTTTTTTAAATAGCAACCACCTTTTTTATTGGACCATATGAAAGTTTAGGTCTTTTTGATTAATTTTGTGTGTGGTTGGTCAGGAAAATTTCGGAAAAAAAATCGAAAAAACGTAAATTTTTATTTACTTTTTTTTTCAACAAGATAGCTGAGTGTAAATGCCAGAACACAATTAATTTTTATTAAAGTGTTAAACGTCAAAGTCAAAAGTGAAGTGTTACAATAACTTAAGAGGAACTTTTCGAAAGAAGTCATTAACAGAGACATAAAGGACTGAGATCGTCCCACAGTACAGGAAAATACTCAATTAGGTGTGCCTTTGCCTTTGGTGATGATCCTCATGCAACAACACGTAGGACGGACGAAATCTTGATATTAGCGTGTACAGGATTCTTAAGAGACAAAAATACCATCCCTACAAACTTCGATTGACTCATGAATTAATAGAGGACGATTCTGATAGTCGAATGGAATTTTTTCGAATAAATGCAAAATCGCCGTATCGATGAGGAAACTTCAGTACCAACATCATCTTCTTTGACGAGGCAAAGTTTTGTTTGAATGACGTAGTCAACAGACAAAATTGTCTATATTGGACCTTCGAAAATCCACATTGGATGCAAGAAGTGTATACCCAGTATCCTCAAAAGGTAAATGTGTGGGCAAGTATCGTAAAAAAACAAACACTTGGCCCTTATTTCATCGACGAGTATTTGAATGGTTCATTAGAAGAACTGGTTGCTGCTTTAATAGAACTTTCTCCAGGAACCTGACAAGGTCTCCCGATTTAACTCCAATTGACTGTTTTTCTTGTGGGGATATTTGAAAAGGTTTATCATACAGACCAGACAACATTGAAGACCCGAAGCAATGCCAACAACCAGGAATGTACAGAGAATTTGTAGAGAGGCTGGATCATTGTCGAGCTGCAGGCGGTCGGCTGTTTGAGCATTAGATTCATTAAATTCAGATAAAAAGAGCTATTACAACAAAATGTATTTATACCTACGAAAAATATAAATAAGAGTTTTCTTAGATTTTTTCCAAAATTATCCTGACCAACCCCTACATGTAACACACCAAATTAATCAGAAAGGCCTAAGCTTTCATACGGTCCATTAAAAAAAAACAACCCTTTCTCCTCACCACCATAACTGGTTACATATTTGAAAATTTCACCAAAGTTCTTGCCCCCCAAAAAAAAAATTGACTTATCCAAGAGATTTTTCTAAAAATTGCCAGTTTCCGAAATCCCCATGACTTTTGAGGCACTATATACTGTCAATCCTATTGAAATATGAAATGTAAAAGTGATATAATTCATCTTAGCAAAATATTATAATTAGGTGATTTTAGTACATATAGGGTATGACCGATATGTATAGATTATTATCTATTATTATTATTGATTCACAGCCACACACAAAAAAAAAAGTTGGGTATACTTTTTATGCGACATATATATTTCGTAGTAATTTGGCCTCTTGAACACGAATCTGGTGTCAGAATTGGCCCATCACGTCACAATTTTTTCCTAACCTCAAAAAATTTGTGAAAGATAGTGAAAATTGATGAATATTTACTGGGAAAATTTGGAAAAAAAATTATTTCCACATCAAATAGTACATTTTTATGTAAAAGACTCTGCTGAATTCAAATCCACTGTCAGAATTGAGCTAGAACGTGTGGTTTTTTTTCTAACCTCAAAAAACCGAGCAGGAGTCGCTATTTTCAAATTCTGAGCGGATTTTGACCAGATTTTGTATAAAGGGGTTTTTTGGGTGGCTGATTACCAATATGAATTCACATTGTAAAAATTCAAGATGGCTGACCCAATATTGCGGGTGTACTTTGTTGAAATCCACAGATTTCAGTAAAATTTGGCATTATAAGGATTACTGGTTGATCTCACCTTCATTAATTACACATCTGGAGCCAGATTTTCATAAATCAAGGTAAAAGATTCCACTCCGTCTAAAAATGTGACTTCGCTTAAAAAAATGACTTAAGGACTCTACACATGTAATGATGTGTAGTGTGATGTGCTTGTTTCCATGGGACAAGACAAAAAAGTTTCTACTTTATTCTTTCATTTATTTAGTCGTGCATGGGCTTATGGTTTTCCAATCAGATTTTTTTAACTACTATGCAGTTTTCCTATGGCATTTAGATGCTTTTATTTCTTAATAATTTTAAAGTTCAAGGAAAAGGACACATTACTGCCACACAGCACATCACTGCATCTGCTTATGCCTTCAATCTATAAATGTGACTTTACCGAAAAAATGCCGCCTACTCGGCCTAAAATTATGACTCTGCCTACAAATTTGATTCCACCTGAAAATCTGGCTCCAGATGTGTGATTAATGAAGGTGAGATCAACCAGCAATTCTTATGATGCCAAATTTTACTGAAATCGGTGGATTTCAAAAAAGTACACCCGCCATATTGGATCAGCCATCTTGAATTTTTACAATGTGAATTCATATTCGTAATCAGCGACACAAAAAACCCCTTCATACAAAATAGCGATTACTGCTCGGTTTTTTGAGGTTAGAAAAAAAACACACGTTCTAGCTCAATTCTGACAGTGGATTTGAATTCAGCAGAGTCTTTTACATAAAAATGTACTATTTGATGTGAAAATAAATTTTTTCCAAATTTTCCCAGTAAATTTTCATCAATTTTCACTATTTTTCACAAGTTTTTTGAGGTTAAGAAAAAAATGTGACGTGATGGGCCAATTCTGACCCCAGATTCGTGTTCAGAAGGCCAAATTACTACGAAAAATATATGTCGCATAAAAGTATACCCAACTTTTTTTTTGTGTGGCTGTGATTATTACTCTTTAAAAGAGCTAGGAATTATTCCTGCTTTTATGGTTATGTGTATAACCAGACATATTTTGCAGCAGGTTAAATATTTAATTAAATATTCTAATTTTATTCTAATTTGCAAGGACTTAAACAACTTTTTTCAAGATTGATAATAATGTGTAAGTTAGCTAGTTTCCAAATTTTATGTTATTGTAAGGATTATATGAAAAGCCAACGGCGAACCAAAAAACTGATATAGGCAATTATTAAAAAGGAATTGAATATATGGACTGATTAAATCGTTATTTAGTATACATTTTAAGATCTATAGTTATTCTTGAATCTTTGCTCTGAAGCTGTTTCATGGCCATCTATTTAAAACATAGTGTTTGACTTTTAAAAGTTTAGAATGCAATTTGTCATAAATTGTTTTAAGCCCCATTTAATTGTTACTCCAGTATCTTACTCGTAAAATATATATCAGAATTGTAGTCATTTCTCTGCGTTCCTCTTCTGAATATTGAGCTTTTTAAAAATATTCTATTTGGAAAGGACTGATAAGCTAAAATTGTATTCTATACCCTTTCACCGAAGGTATAAAAATAAATTCAACTGGAGGTCTCTTTTCACGTCTCTGTGCAGAGATACAAAAACTACCTTTGCTATTTCATAATAAATTGTATAAATGTTTTTTCTAAAAAAGTATGTATATTAACTTATTTGCTTTTAATTTAACTTCCAAGTTTCCAACAGAAACAATAATTAAAACAAAAAAAAAAAATTTCATGTAATTTATTATGATAAGAAACAAGTAATTAAAACATCAAAGGAGCCTCAAGAGTTTGGTATTGACAGTGACGTTTAATGAAATAAATACATATAGTCCGGTCAAATTAGACCAAAAAAATAAGAGTGAAGGTACATAAATTTACAACAAGCTGAAAGTGAGTAAAATTGTTTAAAACATAATTAAAAATAACATTAAAATTCCTCATCGTTCCGGTACTGGGAAAAAAATTTAC